AAGGGAGGGGAGACAAGATGATGATGAAAAGGGAAGAGAAGCTGAGTGGAACTTAGGAAAGGAAAGTGAAGTAGCGGGAGAAAATATTAGAGTAACAGATAGGAGGGAAGCAGGTAGGACTAGGGAGCCAGAGGATAACAAATAGGGAGACGGAAAACTGGAGGAAGAAATATATGGCATGAATGGATAGTGTGGAGATCTGAGGAAAAGCAATGAGGAGAGAGAGACACACAGAGAAAAGGAGAAAATTTGAAGGAGGTGGTCACTAGATACAGAAAAAGAAGGAATTAGATGGGGAGGGAATCCGAGAGGCAGAACACAGAAAGGGGAGCGAAGGAAAAGGAAGTGGGAGACAGAAAAGAGAAGGAAAACAAACAGATAAACCCACAAAACTTCAAAACTGGTCACTGGCATGGATGTTTTATTCATGTTCATCCGAGTTTGTGTTTTAGGGGTGATATTCAGAATGTGCCTTATTATACATTTTAAATATCGTCCAACTTTTTTCTTTTCAATCTGCACATCCATGAGGACTTCTAAAATCAGACTGTGTTCAGGTCAAATACATGTAATAACTTTTAAAATCCATGCAGGATATTCCTCCTTGTACGGTTCATTTCAGTATCCACTGCTTCACTAAACAAAGAAAAATAATAATAAATGTGCTTTTCCATTTGTACATCACATTATCAAAAGCCATAAATATTACCTGAGCAACATGTCCACAAACCTCCCCCCTGTGCCTGCCACCCGACGAGTGCAGTAGTGTTCTTTATTGTGAATTGGGCTTGCTAAGTACAAATCATTGTAATAGTCCTGCTGCACACAGAAGAACTGTTCTTTAAAAGGAAAGAAAGCAAAAAGGTTACTTTAAAACACAGCACCTAATCTGTGTTATGGACAAATGACTGGCTACATAGCGATTTAAAAGTGAAAGCTTCTTTTTGAGTTACAAAAGCAAATTCAAATGTGAAAACAAATGCAATTATTCTCAAAACAATCCAAATTATTTTTAATACATTTTTGAAAAATAAGGCTGAAGGCAGAGTCTGTGAGTCAAGAGAAAACTTTGATGGCCAAATTATAACCTCCCTAAATAACAAGGTTTATAATGGAAAAGCCAACAAACCCTTAACGATATAGCACTGCTAGCGGGTGTCTTTATTACATTCCAATGGTATTACATACAGGTGCCTAAGAATGTAAAATACTCTGCCATACAACTGGATTTCAGCCTTTTTTTCATGGCCAGAATAGAGTGATTTCAGCATGCACTTAGAATTGCTCAGCCTGAACTATGTCTAAATCTTTAGAGATACTGTAAGTGACATCATCTGCATTGGAACCAGAATTAGGAATATGGTCTGGGTACAAACTAGACTTTCATAGTCTTGATGTATTGTTGGATGGGAAAAGAGTGAAAACTAATAAGTTATTTTTTCCCTTTTATCCATCGAAAGCTGACATAAGCTGGCAGCATAATGAAGAAAAGACCTTCAAAACCTGGCAGTTTTCAGTTCACCTTTTAATGCAGGTGCATTATTTGGCATGGTCTTCAAAACCACATCCAAAGTAAAATCTTAGCTCATAATAAAATCTGCCAAATTATTAATTTTGATATCAGGCTTAAAATGTGTGTGATTACTAACACTTACATAAGTATATTTGAAAGACAACTCTGTTGTAGCATCAGGGTAGAGTTCACTATGACATTTACGACAAAAAAAACCCCCCAATCAGTCCCATTCCTAGGTAACCATAAGAAAATTCTTGTTCAAGCATTCTGATCCTACATGTACTGAACTTTGAGCCTGAGAACAGACTCCGAGAGTGAACGGAGGACTCCGTAGGACAGGGTAGGATCTCTCTCTCAGTTTGAAGTAGGAAAGTAATAGTGTGAAATGGCTCTCTCTAATAGCATCTCTTGGTCTTTCAGTTGGGCAATCGTGTTCTACACCCTGACTGCTCCTCCTGTTCCTGGAGGAATGACAAACTGTTAACAATATAAGAGTGCCTGAAAGCCTGCTCAAGCAAAACTGAAACAGTTGAATAAACACTGAACTCAACTAAAAAAAGAGGGACGAGCTAGAGCTTGTTGGATTATCTAAAAGCAGACAAAGCAGCATATTATTTGCCTGTGTTAATTAAACTGCTGGGTAAGAATAGCTATTGTTGACTTGGTGCAGCCTGCAAGAATTGTACGGCATCACAATTGTTTTCAGCCCATTCCATAGGCTGAACATTGACTTAAGTCTCCCACTATCAAACTGTGATGAAGAAATAAATAGATAAAGATCACAGAGGGTAAAATTCAGTTCTGTGCAAAGAACTAGCACAACAGTAGAGAAATTAAGGGATTATTGATCCTTAATCTCCATTTCATATAGAAACTAACTTCATTTTTATATTTAGAATGGTCTAACAGCAAAGCGTGTTTTAATGGCTTATACCTAACTTCTCTTTGGACCAGGTCTGTCACAGAGAAGTGACCAGAGGTCAAAGTAGAAATGGGTGCTCATTCTGCAGCTTTAGAAATTAAGGGGAGCGGGGAACTAAAAAAGAAAAAGAAAAATGTAGGCTAAATAACAAATAAAAACTTACTTTTGGGGAGCTATTTCATACTATGAATATAGTTTTCCAAGAAACATGGTAAAAGATCCTCATCTGAGATATTTAAATGTAGACTCGATAAAGCACTACAACATAAAGGGACCAATCCTGCACTGGTAGACAGATAGATTAGATCACCTACTATGCAGTGTTGTTGTAGCTGTGTTGGTCCCAGGATATCAGACAGACATTGGACCAATGTCTGTTGGTGAGAGAGACAACCTTGAAGAAGAACTCTGTGTAAGCTCGAAAGCTTGTCTCTCTCACCAATAGACACTGGTTCAATAAAAGATATTACCTCCCCCGCCTTGTCTCTCTAGGTGACCTAGTGGGTCTTTTCCATCTGTAACTTCTATGAGTCAAACCCTAAAGTCCTTTTTCAGGCAAAACTCATATTTAAACAAATGGGAAACTGAGTCAATGAAAGTTTTGCCTAAGTAAGGACTGATTAAGGACTGGACTATAGGACTTAGTTCTATTATTTATTCACCGTAATTCACAAGCATCCCATGAACAGAACGGGGTTCTTAGGCATCAGTCTGGTTGCTAAGGCTTCTGCAAACTAAGGGCTGTCTTCCAATATACACATTTTAAAGATTAAAAAGATGTAATTATTTTACCTACATAGCATTGAAAGTGCCTGAGTTAACATACCAGTATATTTAAAATTCTATAGAAATAAGTGCTGTTTCAATTTAAAAAATGAAAGTGTAATAAATAATATTTATTTCCTTCCATACCAACAAATGAGGTTTGGAAGGTGTTTTGCCATTGTTATAGGGGAAAAAATCTTTTAAAGTCATCTGCACTGTATTCTTTGTGCCAAGTTAAGAGTATGCATTTATCATTCCAAACACACAGTAACATTTTATATTGGGTAATATTTTTTCATTTTCTAAAAAACATTTTTTTTATTTAAAGATCATGTATATTTCTTTACTTCATAGACCATGAGACATTTTTCATACCCTACCAGACAGCTTAATTTCCTGTTGACCTTAAGTGATGGGCCAAGACCCTGAAATTCCTTACCACATTTCCCAGAACAGCAGAATAGCATTAGTCATTTTTCAGTTGTGGTGTGAATTCGCCAGAGTAGGTCTTTGATGATTATACTATCCCCCTGCTCCCACAAACACAGACTAGCTGTACAGAACTTTTAGTTTTAGAAGAATTAACTCACTAATACTTGCCTTTTGCTCCACCAGGTAAATGTGAAGAATTAGTGATTTTTATCATTTTGCTTGACGCTGACGACATCGCACCTTAAAATAGTTCAAAAACTTTTCAGTGTTTGCATTTGCAGACTTCTTCAAAAGTTCTTGCAGGAGTGATGAAAATGGTCTTTTCTAACCCTTATTTCTAATTCCTGTTTTGGAATCTTATTACAGTGAGATACTCAGAGTATTCCTAGCTTCAGCCTTAGTTCCCACTGTTTCTGTCTTTGCCTAGAGTCAAAAGAAGCTCGCAGGATTGGTATTTTGCCCCAGTTTGTGACCTGATTTTCCATTCTGAAAACATAGCACATGTATTGCCTCACAGCTGAATTAAAAAAAAAAATTACTATTTTTTTTTGTAATCAATCATAGAAACCTGGTAGGGAAAAGAACCTATTAAGTTATCCATCTCACTGTCATTGCTAATTGTTTTCTACAATAGATTTAAGGGCTCTGTCTTGTAACAATGATGATTTACAGTTTTTTCCAGATGATGGATTCTAGCTGGCAGAATCATCTGAAGCATGTTGTCCTACCAGGCTGCAAAAAATATGCATACTCCCTATGCAGTTTCACCAAGGGGAAGGCATTCTGCAGTACTGTTTGCCATCTTCCCTAGAGTCTCCACTGGGACAATATAGCTTTAAATACTAATCAAGGCTCTATGGAAATCTCACTGATGGAGGCTGCCTGAGAGAGGCACTCATCAGATGAATCTCCTAGATGACCTTCCTACGTTGGGGCTTGCTCTGGCCAGCTCCAGACTCCATAATGGAGAAGGGGTTGTGAGTGACTTGTGTCACTTTGACTCACTCCTGGCAGACATTCTGCTCCCAGTTCACACGAGGGGAACCTATTGAGCAAATCTGACCCTGTGTATATCATAGAACATTTTGTCTTTATATAGGTTAATAAACCAGTCAGTGGGGCTTTGAAAATTCCTCCAAGTCCTATGCAAAAATATTTACTAAATACATTTTTCAAAATGCCAGAAATGTACTTGGGGATTGTTGACATTGCAGAAAATAAAAGTGGCTCTGTGAATTATTTTTTAATGAATGGGAAATTCAATGAAACTAAGTGAGTGCTCTGCTTACTACGACTAGGTCAAGACATGGCTGAAACTTCACAAGGTAAGCAGGGAAATTTATGGCAATTTTGTTACTATTGCAGGTGCTGGCATGACCTCTGGTGTTTCAGCCATTTTCCCAAGTACCTCTGGCACAAACACGCTCTCGCCTTTTCAGCATGCACACAAAGGTAAGAAAAGCTTCCCCTGGTTTATTCAGCAGCTATTTCTTCAGAATACAGTATCAGCTGGTATAACGTACTGTTGAACTGAAAACACCTCCTGTAAAATTACTTTGCATTATTTTCCCACATTTGAAGAATCACTAAAAATAATAATAATTTACAATGATTTCTTATTCCTGGATTAATCAGTACTATTACTTCAGTGGAGATGGACTTAAAATGGACTTCAACTGAGTTGTACTGATTTATGCCAGCAATTAATTTAGCTCATTATTTTAGCAACAAGGAAATGTCATTATGCCCCAGCAGAGACTGGCCAGAAATGTGAAAATAATTTAATATAACTATATGGCCAGTCTCTTTTTGGACTAAACAAACAGTTCTACAATATGTATTTTTGACAAACCAAAAATAATGAAAATAAGAACACTGCATACATAGTGGGGGGAAAAACAACTAATAAAAAATTATCAAAGCTGACCATTGTGTGTCTGGTTTTGTGATGTTGGAAGCAATGTTTCCAGACATTTTATTATCTCATTTTTAATTCAGCTTCCCACATGCTTTGAAGTATTTATCATTTTCTATAATCCTACATGGCTTTTTAGATCCTAGCTTACTGCCTCTGATTTTCATCTCTGATCTTACCTACCTTATTTTAAATTCATCTTCTGTCAATGCTACGTGTGAAATCTGTGTTAGAAAAGCAAGTATAACAATTCTTTTGCAGATTGTGGCTTGAACTTCTCCCTTTTCTTACCTCTCTTTTGAGGGCATTAAAAACACCCTGAAGCAAAATGACATCAACATGATCAAACAGTCCTTCTGAAGCATGGAACCTATATGTTAAAATATTCAGATACTCTTTCTGAAGTAAGGACAGATGTAGTTACCCCATGATGAATTTATTTCATGAATGAGCTCCAGACATTGAGAGAAAGCATATATTAAGTCAGCTTTTAAGTTATTTATTATCATTATTGACTCTGACTTTGGCTTTCAGTTCTTCTCTCTGATATTACACACACGATATTTTGGCTTGAGCACAAGATGATGTGTCTTTGGATCCCATTCCCACTTCACTGCTGAGGGAGCATTTACTTTTCATGGCACTGTTTATCTGAGGAATAATGAATCTCTTTGACGTTGGTTCTTTAAAAATTCTTTGCTGATGCCTAATCTTCATCCTGATTTTATTAACTTATTTCTATTCCGATATAAACGTTAATTTGACTTGTTTGAGAATTCCAATCAGGCTATCGAGTGTACCATACCACAGAGGATGATCTGGTGAATGCGAGTTATGCATTATTCAGTTCTGCTAATTCAGTTCACTTTCAGTTTTGTTTCATTTTTCAGCATTCAGTAGCATTGATCATAGTATTCTTTTGATGTGCTTACTGTCTTGTTGGGCTGTCAGAAACTGCTTTGGCTTGAATCCTACTGAAGAAAGCAGTCAGCCACAGTTACCATGGGTCAATTTAGACCTCAGTCTGCTTCTCTGTGTCTTGCCTGAGGGATTAGTGGTAGGACCAATGCTCTTCTGAATGTATACGTTACTATTGGGTGTTATTTTTTAGGGACTATACTGTATATTTTCATTGTTGGGCAGACACTGTCCAGACCTACCTCATGCTTCCAGCCAGTTGTCAGGCTGCTAACATGATATCCAGTTACAGATGTCACATTATTTTATAAAATTATCCAACTAAAGCTGGTTGCTAGCAGGTTTTAGGTGGTTGTTATGTTAAGCACTTAGCCTAACAGTTCATTTTGGCAATATTTACTGAGCCTATCTCTTTAGCATAAAGACACTAGGTGCTAGAATGACATATTTGTCAATGGCCTTATACTCAGATTTCATAAGCAGAACAGCCTTGTACTTTCTTCCGGATATTGCTCTGATAAGAAACAATTAGAATCATTTATCAATTATTCCATTTTTCAAAACTTACTACTATAATTCCTTCTTCATGGGCGCTCCAAAGATATATTGTCTAGACAACAGCAGCTCCTATTCTGATGATTGACTTTTTCCTTGTTTTAAGATCCTTTTTCTGGCTTCCCATCACATTTTTAATAATTTAAAAGTTTTATAATTTATTTTTAAGCTGTGGTTTCATCCCAGAGAAGCACCTGTAAAAATGGCATCAGACAGGTTTTATAATCCATACAAACCAACACAAATCGAACTAAACATATTAGATTTTTCACCTGCACTTTTGATAAATCTTTCAAAGGAAGAATTTTAAACATGTTCACACTGATGGAACATTACCAGCAGTACACCCACTTTGTATGTTAGTGTAGGTCTATGAAAAGAAATTACACATTTTGTTGTTTTACTGACTTGTTTCATTGTTCTATAAAGGAAAGCTAAATAACTGATTTTACAATTAAGAGAATGTCCAATTTTCACTCAGGGTTGAGAGCTAGCAGCTGTTCACAGTTATACACAATTAGCTGCAATACCACATTAGGATACAGAGGAACACCACTTTCTGTCTTAGAAAAAGCCAAATCCTATCTTCAGATGTGCACACACAAAGAGCCCACTGAAGCCAGTTGTGAGTGCAACCATGGGCAAAACTGGGCCTACAAGCCTGTTATAATTTTCAGCCAACATAAATTTCAGCGTCCTATTTTCACCTGTTAGTAACAACGACAAACCTCATTCTCTCAGGAGCAGAATGACAGTGGGAGAAAAGAAAATTACCAAAGAAATTACATCCGCATATTTTATTTTCATAATTTTTCTTTTTACAATAAGCAAAGCATAAACAAAATGTAATGAAATAGTTTGTGTATATAATTTTAAAAAACTGAAATATGAAAAGAGGTCAAATTTTGGTAGCTCATATTTCTTCTTATTGAAACATTGAAAATTTCACAAGGTATTTGGAAGAGCATAGTATATTTTCCTCTTCATACATAATTTCTTCTAATATTAGAGGACATAATAGCTTCCTTCATCTCTGCAGGACTACATGGTCTAGCATTTGTTGTCATTATTAACAACTATTGTAGAACAAACTACACTGATTTGTAACATTCTGTATATTGGTTGGCTTTTGAAGCGTAAGAGCTAAGTTCTGCAGTGCTTCATCCGGCAAAGCTCCAGTTCAAATAAATTAATCAAGTTTTAAGTAAATAAAGAAATGAACTAGGGATTAAGTTTAGGGCAGACCTCAAACTGATAAACATTCTTTGTTTTCAATAATGGCTCCTTTACAATAAACTTATTTCTTTGTGTCTCCAGCAGATCTTTCAGGACAAGGGCATCTGGCTACTGCTCTAATAATTGCCATGTCTACTATATTCATAATGGCTATTGCCATTGTCTTGATCATCATGTTTTACATTGTGAAAACAAAACCTTCTGGTCAAGGTAATTGTGTGGCATAAGAAATTCCAGTTGCAAAATGCTATCTCCAGACAACTGCTGAGAATGACTAGTAATAAGTTACATTCTTTATATTCTAGCCTGTTGCACCAGCCATTCAGTAAAAACAGTCGAAGCTCAAGCCAATATGCAAGAAGAGAAGACAGACGTACAAGGTTTGAGCTGTTTTATAGTTTCCATTTTCTCCATACCAGATAACACAGGTCTTAAACTCCCTTAATCCATCTTCCTGTGCAATCCCCCCTTTTAATTGTTTAAACTCCAATTCCATTTAGTAAAGGAATATGCCAAAATAGGTTCTGTACCACCAAAATTGCACTTAATCCTGTGCTAGAAATTAAAAGTGTAGAAGAATTCAGGGAGATTTAAGTTTGTAGTAAGACTGCCAGCTGACGAAGCTAGTGAGGCAAAACACACATTTGCAATCTCTCTGCCAATTAAATAATATCTTTATTTTTTGATCTGCAGAAAATGTTGTGATTTTCTCAGAGAAAGAGGAGTTTGAAAAACTGACAGCAACTCCAGCTAAGACTGTTAAAAGGTATGTGAAAAATAAACATTATTTTAGCTTGGTTAAGGTAGAAAAGGAACATAACCATTTCCAGATACTTGAGGCAAAGGAATTATTTAGCCTGGCACAAGGGAATACAACAAGAAAAAAGGAGATGCAATTAAGACAAGGGCAAAATAGGCTAAAAGCTTCCTGATGGTGAGATCTAATAGAATGAGGAACATTCTGCCAAGGGAAGCGCCAGAAGCCCCGTTGCTTGAGTTTTTTAAAGCTAGACCTGGGAGTTGAAAATGCACTAACAATCTTGCAGCAGCAGGGGAAAGACTAGATGACTTAAGTATTTTCAATCTCTAACTTCTACAGTAGGATGGCAGATGCTAGTGGGGGGGAGGGCTGATCATTCCCTCATCCCATCTCCCTCCTCAGCCCTACGGGGCTCTGTTGTCTTTCCTGACAGCTTCATTTTGGTAGTGTGTGCCAGAAGTGTGGTTTTCAGGTACGTGCTCTTCATTAATCTTCTCCCTGCTGCCTATCAGCCAGCACAGGAGAACACATTTCCTGCTCCATACATCAAAAAAGCACTTTATCCCTAAGTTTATTGCTCAGCTTCTAGATGGCACAAAGTCACACAGGTCAGTAGCCTTTACATTATTGATGGGTTGATATTATCAATGGTCTCTTAAACCATAGTAACCTGGGTCAAATTTTTGTGCTCCCTAAGGGCTGCTACAGTATTATAATTAGCAGAGCGAGAATCACCATTAGAAATGTCATTTGGTCTGGAGGCTCTCAGAGCACACAAGGAATGATAGCAGGGACCACAACAGCATTCACACATTATTAAGCTTCCCGATATTAAAAACCTTACTACACAGATAATCAATGCCACAGTTACAGATATATAAATGAACATGTACCAATACCAAAAGGTGTCCAGCATAAATGCTCTCATACTCACATCTCCAAGGGTTCCACCAAGATAGGTGGCTCTCTGAGTAGATGGTCATCTGTGGAGGGTCTCTTGATGGATCTTCCTCCCTGTTCATGCTGATGAACCCCTTTTATGCTGAGTTACACTCACACCCATAACCCTTATACATATGACGAAAGTTCCAACCCCTTTGTCCTTATCAGGACTTCCAAACCCCATAAAATTTGGTGTCCCACTTTTCAAAGGCTACTCTCTTAGTTCCCCTTATTTACATTAGCATGTATATCAACAAGGCCCCATGGCAACCTGTAGTTGCTGCAGAATTGTCTATGCTGTTACAATTGGGTGCCTTGCAGTCCTGACAGGTACATTGCGGCATATTTCCCCAAACATCACTCATTGTCACATTCTTTATAGTAATCTTGTAACGTTACTGGTACAGGATTATTCCTGGGTCACCTGCTTATGTCAACCCTTCTTTTAGGCCTGAGGCCTAATGCGGCTAACCTAAAATTGTACCTGCCGCAGCCTGTAGGGCTTGCATTACAGCCTCATTTTGCTTACATACCTAATACACACTGTTCTCTCATAAATGTTTGTCAACCTTATACCCTTATAATACTATCCTTCTTATTCCTATACTATACCTAAATCTATTCATCACGCATTGATTACATCTCTATTGCTGTGGTTAATTCATAACACAATTAAATGATTATATGAAATAATTGGCTACAGCTCCATTCGCCTTTAGGATTCTCTGAGCTCTCCCTAGCTGCTGAGCCCCGCTAGATGACACAATGAGCTTTGTACCACACCACAAAGACTACGTCTACACTACAAAGCTAGGGGGTGATTCCCAGCTTGCCAACACATAGTCGTGCTAGGTCAATGAGGAAAGACTATAAATAGTAGTGTAGCCACAATAGCATGGGCAGCCTGAACTACCTGGGTACATGCTGCCACTGCCCATGCTACCACGGCTACGCTACTATTTATATTCATGCTAGCTGTCATCAAACTAGCACAAGAACATGAATGCAAGCTTGGAATCACACCCCTAGCTCAAAGTGTAGACAAAGATAAAGTCAGGAAGAGCTAGAATTTGGCCCTGAGTAAAGAAACATATTTTTAAAAAATCCTTTATAAGATCTCCCTCTTGCTCTCACACAGGTATTCATGACTGTGTAACTTAAATAGAGACCGTTGCACATACATCTTCAATAGCAGGATCAAGCTTTAATTACATGGTCCCTCAGGATAGACATTTTTTAAATAAAAAAATTATTCCATTGCCTCTAAGATAGAAGAAAAGACAGAATTGGACTCATACTATCAAAGGCTGCATTGCTGTAATCTTACCCTTAATTTTTCAGTGAAAACGATGCATCTTCTGAGAATGAACGACTTTTAAGCCGAAGCATGGACAGTGATGAAGAAGCTGCTGTTGATAAACAAGGGACCCCAGACCTGTGCTTGTTATCTTTAGTTCATCTCACCAGGGACAAATCTTCTACAAATAACAAATCAACCGGGGTAAGGCTTTTTTCAAAACTGAAAATGGAGAAGTATTTTGATAGTTTTTTTAAAAAAAATACATGCACAAATCATCACCACAATAAAACAATGAATCACAATGCAGATCAAACTAATCTACAGGAAAGTTTTGCAAGGTAATAAGAAATTGTCTGACAATCTCATCTATAGAGTCAGCATATAGTATTCCTTCAATATGCCAAAAATGCTGTGTGCGCATATAAAATGCACTGTTAAGGGCTGAGAAATTAAGCACCCAAAAGTCAGGAAATTCAAAAGAAAGTTTCCTACAGCAGTATTAACTCTGCTCTTTTGAACACTGTACATTTTATGGTATACATTTTAACAAAGAAATCAATAATACAGCAAGGCATGCATTTAAACCGGCAAATCAAGAAAGAAAAATTTAGTCTTGGTTTTTCTGTTTAAATGCATGCTTTGCTGTATTATTGACTTTTTGTTAAAATGTATACCATAAAATGTACAGTGTTCAAAAGAGCACCATTAATGTTGCTGTAGGAACATGACTATATGGACAATGGGCTAGCCTAGTGTTATAGTGGGAACCTTAACTTCTGAATTTCCTGACTTGTGTGCTTAAGAACAACATGCTCATTTCTACACCTTCATGTTTCATTAATATTAATTTTCATACTTAGTTTTCCTGTTTATTTTTCAAAGATACAAGAGTCACATTGAAGGTGGCTCCAATATTCAAAAGAACCACACCTGCGCCATCTCACTGTTTGGTTTCTCTACTTGTGGCATACATTCCTTCCGGCTGGCTGGCTCCCTCACAGTGTATTTAAAGGTAGCTAAGGGCATATAAACACATGCGTAAGGTGCTTCAGCACATACCAAACTTTCTAACCCATGTTAACATTAAAACATACTTAAAAAGAAAATGCACATATTCATATGGATATGTTTTATACTTTCATAGCTTTAAAAATACTATAACAACCACAGTGAAGTCAGTTAGGCCAAGATAGACGTTTGTAGCATCAACCATTTTTGGTTATCCAAGACTGAAAAAGAAACTTTAAAATAAAAATTAAAAAAAAAAAAAACTTTGAAAAGTATCTTTTCACACTTGCGTAGTTTAACTGGCTGAGATGATTTAGCTCAAAACTTTCCAAAATAGCTCATCTTTCCACTAAGACCAGACATGGAAAGTTTCAGCCCCACGGGAGATGCTTTTAGCTTTGCTTTTAGAAAGTTATGAACAGCTGAAAATTATCATTAACCCTATGTATGCGTTTTTGTTATCTGCCCTTAGGTATTTCTAATGCACACATCATCATAGACTCTAGGCACCATTGTCTAGCTATACTTCACATTGGGTTGAAATCTGGTACACAGGTTCTCCGACCAAGTGGCAATGTCATAAGAAAAGGCTCTAAAGACTGTATAACACAGTAGATACAGCCTCAGAAGCTTTTCTTTGGCTTGTAAGCTTGTCTAAAGCATAGATAGATCCCTTATCCTAGACCTCTCCCCTGGAATATGGTTATGATGACTTGAGACCTCTTAACAAGTATAAAACAAGGTCTTTGATGGAAATACAGATTGTGCTGAGACACTCAGCTTCCGTGCCTCGGATTTTAGGACCAAACTAGGTTCCATGCACTAAAGTACTTGGGGGGGTGCAGATGAAATAGTGTTTATAAGACAGACCATAGAGCTCAATGGGTGTTGAGTGAGGCTAAGGACAGCTAGAGAGAAAGGTAGAAAAATATAGAGAATTTCAAAGCTAGATTTGGCAGGCTCTTCGCCTTACCCTGGACTGCTCCTTCCTGGTTTAAAAAAATATTATGCAATGAGTTACCACACAGAGGATCCAAGATCAAAACACAAACGTGGCCATTTGCTTGTGGGCTAAGCACAGTGCAGAATCAGCAACCTCAGCCTTTGGAAAAGAAGACAGCCTCTGGCATCTCCCTCACTGGACTTGGGAGGGAGGTGTTAGTTAGTCTCTCTCTGCCCCAGAGACAATCAGCACAGAAGGGAGGCTCCCGAATGGAGAGAGAAAATGGGGGATCCAAGATGCTTTAAGCGGAACTCTAAAAACCCCTTATGGAAAAAAAATGTGAGCTCCTGACATGTTTATAAAGTGGCTACTCCAAATGCACAACAGTTACTGCACTTAGAAAACCCCAAACTTGCAAGTTTTTATTATGAAATAAATAACACCAAGAATATGTAAAATCCATTTAATAGCTGTATTTCCATCTCATTATGTTCAAAATACCTGCAGACCTAATGTGTCTACATGACAGGTCAAGTGAGCAGCAGTCAATTGGGGGTCCACCACCACAGGCCTAGAAATCCAACTGATTGATGTACCTGGGCTTTTATAGGCCAGTGAAAACAAACCAGACAAGATCGTCCCAGAAACCCAGAAGCTCAAGCAGGCTTTTTTCAGGGTGTTTTCTAAATACATTTGTGACAACTGGTGAGTTTGTGAAACAAGTGTTTGAGTCCCATGATAAAGAGAATATTTCCAATAGCTTGCTCCTAGCTAGAGCTGGCTGGAAGACAACAATTCTGTATTCTGACAACTTTCAAGGTTTTAAAATTGTTTTCATTTGGCATTGGAACAAAAACAAAACCTTTTCACTGTTTTTGCAAAATAGAACTGTGTTAAAACATCTGGTTTCAGATTGAAAAGGTCAGGTCAATTCATGTGTCTCTCATCAGAAGTGATCAGAGAGCCCTGGACCTCAGAAACCCTTCTTGTCTAAATCAAGATGTTTCTGCTTCAGCTTTGACAAAAGAGCATATTTTGGCACAAAAAAAATAATAATACATTTAATTGAAAATGTTCCAATTGGCATAATCGACCCCTAATGCCAACCAGCAACAACTCCTGCAAGTACAACCCTCTTGCAGTGTGCTGGGAGAATTAATTCATCACAGCTGGTCCAATCCTGTGTACTTAACAATTTGGGGCATGCAGCTATAGTATTTAGTTTACTCTCTCCCTTGGGCAGGGTCTATAAAGGGAAATTAAATACTAAAACACTTAAAGCAGAAAGTTCATTAATCCAAATGAGATGACACTGGGATACAGGAAAAGGGAGATCTCAGACAGTGGAAAGTGAAAGCCGAAAAATATTTTTACTCTTAACTCATTTACACTTATCCTACTCATCCATGAATCTTCAGAAGTGATCCTTGGAGGCTTTCTGTGCTAATGCAGTGTGTTCAGAGTCTTGGAAGAGGAGCCTCTAGAGAGCACCTCAAGAGGTTGCACTGTGTATCTGGTGCCTCTGTTTGCCTAGTAATTATCTCCTCATGTGACTGAAGAAATAACAAGATGCTAGTCTTTAAAATATGTTTTGTTGCTGCTCCCTTTAGATTCAAAGTCGAAGGAAAAAGATACTTGATGTGTATGCCAACGTATGTGGTGTTGCCGAAGGTGAGTGTGAACAAAATACATATAAACTGACTGTATAGAATTAGATTTTAACTATTGGCTGTGGAATGTATTTCCTTTTGCCTTCATAACTGTCAAAAAATGGTCTACAAAGAGATAATCCAAATTTGGGGTAAACTATAACTTGTATAATTTGTATTAGTTATTTATTTTAAGTAAATTGGATGAACACAAACTGATTAAAATATGTTCTGATAAGTTTAAAATTAAGATTTGGGAAGGATCAGATTTGTATTTCAGCTCTCAACTCCCTCAAGTCCTACTCTGCTCTGCCACCACATCCTGAAAACAGTAATTTCCAAGTTGGGCAGTTTTTAAGGGTTTAATTTGATTTAGCACCTGATTACCTGTATTACCTAGGCACAGTGGACATGGATTCATTTCACTACATCAAAGAGTATATAATCTTATTTAATTCTCTCTTTTTCTGTGTGTTCTATGGCTCAGTGCGATCTCAGCTCCCGCCAGACCACTGGTATTGAATTTGAAATGGAAAAAGCTCTATTAGCCTCCAAATCAATTAAAGAGGGGTAAATACAAAAGTCAGAATCATAGAAGTGTAGGACTGGAAGGGACCTCAACAGGTCATCTAGTCCAGTGCCCTGCACTCGTGGCAGGACTATGTAATAACTAGACCATTTCTGATAAGTGTTTGCCTAACCACCTTTCAGGAATGACAGAGATTCCACAATCTCCCAAGGCAGTTTGTTCCAGTGCTTAACCACCCTGACAGGTGGGACATTTTTCCTAATGTCCAACCTAAACCTCCCTTGCTGCAATTTAAGTCCATTGCCTCTTGTCCTAGCCTCAGAAGTTAAGGAGAACAATTTTTCTCCCTCCTCCTTGTAACAACGTTTATGTACTTGAAAACTGTTGTGTCCCTCCTCAGGCCTCTCTTCTCCAGACTAAACAAATCCAATTTTTTCAATCTTCCCTCATAGGTCATGTTTTCTAGATCTTTAATAATTTTTGTTGCTCTTCTCTGGACTTTCTCCAATTTGTCCACATCTTTCATGAAATGTGGCACCCAGAACTGGACACAATACTCCAGCTGAGGTCTTGTCAAGCACAGAGTAGAGTGGAAGAATTACTTCTCATGTCTTGCTTACAACACTCCTGCTAATACATCCCAGAATGATGTTCGCTTTTTTTTTTTTTGTAGTGTTACACTGCTGTCTCATATTTAGCTTGTGATCCACTATAACCCCCAGATCCCTTTCTGCAGTACTCTTTCCTATACAGACATTTCCCATTTTGTATGTGTGCAACTGATTGTTCCTTCCTAAATGGAGTACTTTGCATTTATCCTTATTGAAGTTCATCCTATTTATTTCAGACCATTTCTCCAGTTTGTCCAGATCATTTTGAATTATAATCCTATCATGCAAAGCACTTCCAATTCCTTCCAGCATGATATCGTCCGCAAACTTTATAAGTGTATTCTCTATGTCATTATCTAAATCATTGATGAAGATATTGAACAGAACCGGACCCAGGACTGATCCCTGCGGGACCCCACTTGATATGCCCTTCCAGCTGTGAACCACTGATAACTACTCTCTGGAAATGGTTTTCCAACCAGTTCTGCACCCACCTTCTAGTAGCTCCATCTAGGTTGCATTTCCCTAGTTTGTTTATGAGATGCTCATGCAAGACAGTATCAAAAACCTTACTACAGTGAAGATATATCACATCTACCACTTCCCCCCATCCACAAGGCTGGTTACCCTGTCTAAAAAAGCTATTAGATTGGTTTGACACAATTTGTTCTTGACAAATCCATGCTGTTACTTATCACCTTATTATCTTCTAGGTGTTCAGAAATTGATGCTTAATTATTTGTTGCTGATACTGTCTCCTGTACTACATCTAGTATTATGGAGAAACTGTCTAGCAAAGAGCATCCATTCAGCCACATGATCAGTGCTAATCTTGACTAAGCTCTCCTATGGAGGTACTTCAACAATAAAACTCTTGCAGGAATTTATATGCATGGAGGCAGTAGGCATCATGGTACCACCTGTGCTCATCTCATCCCTGCAAGACCACCTTCCAAATACGGAGACAGAGAGAGTCAGAGTCAGGGGAGAGTCAAACACTGAGCCATCTGTGGGAGATGATTATTGTCTGCAAAGTACTCTCAGTGCCATTATATAACTGAATTTTGTACCATTAGAAAACTGGTGGCTGCTGGCCAGTTTGCAAAGCCAAAATGAAACTCTTGTACTAAACATGCTTAGCTACATCTATTGAAGTGCTCACTAGGGATACATCTACAATATATTCCCTGGGACAGCTACTTCAGGATTATCTGAGAAAGGGATATAGTAGTAAGACAATACACAACTCAGTTAAGAATCCATAGGAGGAGAGATTAATAAAACTGGGATTTTTCAGTTTAGAAAAGAGATGACTAAGGGGGTATATGACAGAGATCTATAAAATCATGACTAGTATGAAGAAAGTAAATAAGGAAGTGTTATTTACTCTTCATAACACAAGAACTAGGGGTCACCAAATGAAATTAATAGACAGCAGGTTTAAAACAAACAAAAGGAAGTATTTCTTCACACAACGCACAGTAAACCTGTGGAACTCTTTGCCAAAGGATGTTCTGAAGGCCAAGACTATAACAGAGTTCAAAGAAGAACTGGATACGTTCACGGAGGATAGGTCCATCAATGGCTATTAGTCTGGATGGGCAGGGATGCAAAACCATGCTTTGAAGTGTCCCAAGCCTCTGTTTGCTGGGATCTGGGAATGGGCACCAGGGAATGGATCACTTGATGATTACCGGTGCTGTTCATTCCCTCTGAAGCCCCAGAAGACAGGATACTGGGCTAGATGGATGATTGGTCTGACCCAATGTGGCCGTTCTATGTTCTTATCTTATTTCCCACCCAAATTCACACATGCATTCTTCTCTTATCCTCTCTCCTGTTTCAGTTTTTTCTCTCTTTCAAGACTTTTCCAATTTGATACTGTCATTTGGGGCTATTAATTTAGGCCTACCCATATCAAAATACTCCTGTGAGAGTAACCCAAAGAGTTGAGTACCAGGCAAAGTGTGTTACTCTCATGATTTTTTGGGGTGTACTTATTATTTAATATTTTAAGATTATGCTAATAATATTATAGTACTGAACAAGGGAACATTTCTAGTAGTCATCAAGATCCGTATATAGAATTTCTGACTCTAAGAATTTTTACCTCATAGGTCTCAGTCCCACAGAGCTGCCATTTGATTGCCTGGAGAAGACCAGCAGGATGCTCAGCTCAACGTACAACTCAGAAAAAGCTATTGTGAAAACATGGCGCCACCTTGCTGAGAGCTTTGGACTAAAGAGGGATGAAATAGGTGGTATGACAGATGGCATGCAACTCTTCGACCGCATCAGCACAGCCGGCTACAGTATCCCAGAACTTCTAACCAAACTAGTGCAAATTGAGCGGTTAGATGCTGTTGAGTCTTTGTGCGCAGATATTTTGGAGTGGGCACAAGTGATGCCTTCACCTGAACCAGTGGTTACATCCTGATGTGAGCACCATTTCTAAAGGATGTGCAAGAACATTGATCCCAAGAACAATGGTTCAAAGACACGGGGCAGAGACTTAAAAGAATCGGTGGTTTTCTCATACACTACTCACATTCACTCCAAAGAGTAAAGCAAGGCAAGATTTGCAACTGAATTTATCACCAACAAAATAAACAAAGGCAAAAATTCTTCTGAGAAGCTCAACATGAAATATTTAATTAAACAGAATGGCTTTTGTTAAACAGTTACTGATAGTAAGTGGACACTAATATCCATTTTCCACAAAATTTACAAGTATAGGTACAGGTCAATCTGCTGATAGCCTGTCTGGCTTTGAAGAAAGCCCATTTAATTATTGTCTGAAGATAGAACTATCACCTGGGGCTCTGTTCAATAATTTAAAATCTACAGTTAGATACAGTACCATGGAATACAGATAAAGCATACATATTGCTATCAACTCTAACACATGTAATTGTAACCAATTTCATTCCTTATACATACTATGGATTTGTTGAATCAAGAAGTGCTTAGATTAACTAATTATACTGTATGAAAAAAGTTACTAATGGAGTCTACATGATCCAAGTGCTTCAAATGACTGTATATACTGGTAAGAAAGATGGCAGTGATTGCTCTTAAGTTAAAAGGACAATATTTTTTCTATTCTCTGTATTTATAAACAAACACTTGTCTATTGCATTACAAGACATTTTGCTTTTTCGGTATTAATGACGTCTGTGCTTCTTAAGTTATATTCCAAACAGAGGAATTCCAAACAAAAATGGTGCGTACGCTAGAACTGCAGAGGACAAAGAACAAAAAAGGTAGATTTAGTAAAACACTTGAAAAAGAAGAAAATGTAGCAAATCAAGTGGTGTTTGAAAAGCTGTGCTCTTGAAAAAATATGATATGAACATGAACACAGAGATCACAGGATTAAACAAACCATGGAAGCTTTATTTTGAGGTTGTCCACAGCAGCAACCTATCACCTTATTTGTTTAAAAAGTTAACAAATCTCTATTTTTCTTGAGATAGTGGGTTTTTAAACCTATAATTGCAGAGGCCAGAAGCCAGTAGCTGTTAACAATCCAGTTGGTTAATCTACAGTTCAGTTCATTGCTCAATGGTGACAGATTTCAGTGAGAGTTATTACTAAATTAAAACAAATTCCATGACTTACAAAGCAATACTTTTTTAATTACAAATTGCATGACTGAGCTAGTGTGTTATAAAAATATCAGTCATATCCTTGAAACTAACAACCAGTTTTCCACCAGTGAGCATACAGAATTTATCTATGACAGGGCTATAATTATGTGCTGAATGTTTAATATCACCATTTAGCAGTTAATTTGCTGATCTTTTCAGTACTTATTTCGTGTGGTCTGGGAGCTACATAATTTAATTATCCTTTGAGTTTCTCTTTGAAATTTTCTTTTCCTACTTGTTCTATGGAAATTATAAAAATACTTCCCTTAATTAGTTTGCAAATGCCAAATTTGATCATAATTCTGTCCTTAAAGGAAGTTTGCTGCTTCCTTAAAAAAAATACTTTCACATTTAAAAAACAGAGATAACAAAACCGCAATTGACTTCAGTGGGACAGGATTTCAGGCAAGATCTGAATTTTGCAGTTTGAGCCCATCTCTAATAAAAAGCAAAGTTGCTATTTTTCTTATGCCAGTATATAACTGCAGTGTTGTCCTACAACTATAGGACTGGTCTGACATTTATTGTTTCATTTAATATTAACATATTGTGTACTTATGTAAAGACAAACAGTGATCATTTGTTTATTGAGCCTTGAGGAACATTAGGCCCTTGAAATTAATGGTGCCAATGTGCACACACACTATTTAACATTACACCTCTACCCCGATATAACGCAACCCGATATAACACGAATTCGGATATAACGTGGTAAAGCAGTGCTCCGGGGGAAGGGGGGCTGCGCACTCTGGCGGATCAAAGCAAGTTCGATATAACGCGGTAAGATTTTTTGGCTCCCGAGGACAGCATTATATCGGGGTAGAGGTGTAATTTATTTGGTATATAGAGAAAATTTTATTGTGTTACACAAAAGATGTACAGGAATAAAACAGAATACTTCTATATATCTTGCCTAAAGGCGTCATTTCTAATAATTTTGTTTAATGCTGTACATATAACTTATTATATTGTATAATACGAATAAACATATATACTAATAAAATGAAGATATTGAACATAATATTAGTCATGTCTTCATTTAAATTGTTTATTGATCCAGAAATCTGTAATTAAATAAATCACTCAAGGGCTAGCAGGCACTTTATATTCCTGTGGAACAGACTGCCTACACAACATACACGAACGATTTGAAGTAGGAAAGGAAAGGCATTTGGGAGCCTAAATTCAGGCTTTTTTTTTTTTTTTTTATATATCTTGGTTTTGGTGTACACTTTGTGTACCAGACATAAGGAATGGTGTGAAAAAAGCATGAAGTCACACATGGGAGGAAACAAAGGAAGTAATACACTATTATCTAACTTGTGTGTCTGGAAAAATCAGGGATCCCAGACATTCCATTTAGCCAAGTTTTAAAAATAAATAGTTTTTTAATCCACATTTTAGACAGAATTTTGTTTCCACCGGATGACAAAAATCAAACCCAAATACTCGACCAACCCATTGATAATTAGCCAATGCCTTTCCAAAATAGAGAAGAAGGGAGCACCAGAGGCCATCCTGGAAAGCTGATATATTCTAATTTTTTTAATCAGAAGGCTCAACTATGATTGTTTTAGAAGTATTTCTATCATTGGATGAGTGACAGATTCTAGTGCATTCTCTGACTTATATTTTAGGGAGGCAAATTGCCCAAGGCAAGATATTGATATTGCCCCTGCCTGTGTTTTAAACACACTCTGGATCAAGGCTCCCACACTTCCCTGTGAATGAACTCTAGCCAGATGCTATTTTATCTATGAAGCCAATATATACAGATTCATTAATATCACTGAGAACAAATGTCACAGAATTGAGATATAGGCAATAGAACTACAATAAATACCTGTACAGGACAGTGAAAGAGCAGTAAAATTATTTCTTAAAAATTAAATGGTATCTAGAAAAAGATCATGTTTATGTATATCTATAGTTATAAAAAAGTAATTCATTTAAAAACAATATTTAAAATATTTAAACAGTATTTATGGTATTTAAACAATGTAAATTAATGTTTTTTTTTATTTTAGATTCCTGTTTCATTTCTCTCTCCCTTTTTCCCTGTAGTCCCAAACCTATGTATTGAGGCTACCATGTCCTGGGGCTGAAGGTGGTGTTTGTGTGACATTTTTAAAAGCATCCAAGTGACTAAGCGCCTGTCCCATTTTCAAAAGAATGAGACTTAGGCTTCTAACTGCCCAACTCACTTTTCAGAATGGGACTTAGGAGCCTATGTTACTTAGACATTTCAAAATTTTGCCTTAAGTCTCTTTGAAAGTCAGTGAGACTTAGGCTTCTAAGTTACTTGGGTATTTTTGAAATTTTTACCTATTGCTTTATCCTCATTAATTACAATAGAATCTGCTTTCACACCGTATCCTTACACTCTCTCAGAACACACATTTTGGGAAAAATTCAGGACTGGGAGTGTGTTGGGGTCACTCTGAAAGCAGTAACCGAAGCAGCTGGAAGCCAAGTGTGACTGGTGTGTAGCTGGCAGGTTGCAGCTATATACACAGACACTCAGGTCAAGACCTGTATTCTGTTTGGCTGTTTGTGAGCGGCCCAGGTGGAAGCTACAGCACCACAGCATTGTGAGGCACCCATGGTTGCATGGCAGGTGATGACAACCCCTGACTAGTCTGGATTGCACCCCAGAATGTGGTGACCAGGGCACAAGACAAAGACAGTACCACCAACAATGAAAGTGCTGCTTCGGGCCCCAGACTCAACAGTGCCTGCCCCAGCACCACTGTCAACAGTGCCATCTTAACCAAAAAGCGAATGGAGGAATGCTTTGATACATTACTCAACACTTTGTTCCCTTTCTTGGCAGATTTAGGGACCAGAGATCTGCCTCTCCCAGCAACATCCTTGGAAGCCTTCTGTTTCTTCCTGGACACTGACAAGGGTGAGCAATGCTGGGACTCATGAGCATTGGAGGTCCACTTCTCACAGATGCCAAAGACCTTGGCACCCTCTTCAACCAACAAGGCTCTGAAGGTGATCTCCATCAAAAGAAACTTCAGGTTGGCCACTCAATCTTTTTTGGTCCTCGGTTTGAAGTCCTTGCAAATCTGGCACTGATCCCTAATGTGAGACTCACCCAAATACTTTAAACAGCTAGAGTGCAGGTCACTCATTGGCATCCGCTTCAACCATGAAAGACAGGGCTCGAAGCCCAATGACCAAGGCATTCCCGGGTACCAACAAACGGAACCCCAAAAATGGAGAACCAAGAAAAAACTGTCATTAAACAAACTTTTCACTAACACTAAGAAATATACAGCTATGTAACTACATACAAGAAATACACCCTGAGAAATCTTGCTAAAGCAAGACCAATAGATTCCAATAACTGTCATGGGCAGTAAGAAGGAACTGACAGGGATCGGGGGAAGCTCCATCTTTTATACCTGCACATGGCAGCAGAGGACACTTGAATTGTCCCAATGGGTACTGCTGAGTGAAAAATTTCCAACAATTGTGCTCGGGGCATGCATACACCAAGAGTGGAATGCACATGTGCAATCACTCAAAGAACCAAAATATTTAATCAGCTTTCATTGGACTGAATGCACAGGGCCAGTTAGACAGGCAGATCTGCAGGTCTCAATGCGTGCATGAAACAATGGTGTAGAGAGGAGACGTTTAGATTTATTAGGAACTGGGGAAACTTTAGGGAAAAGGGGAGCCTATACAGGAAGGACGGGCTCCACCTAAACCAAAATGGAACCAGGTTCTGGCACTTAACATTAAAAAGGTCATAGAGCAGTTTTTAAACTAAGGG